ACACCCCTACCCGTTGTATAAAAACATGAAAAATACTAGCGCTCTTCACGGTGAATATATGGTGGCTCCACTATAATCATGGAGCAATGCTTCTTCTTTTTGAAATAGCATTATCAACATTATTCTCTTACTATGAAAGACAAAAAAACAAACAAACAAACAAACAAACTCCATGACTTTGAGAGTTTAAATAAAATGGATTTCAATACTTTATGATGATATAAAGCAAGGGGTCACTTTCACTAGGAAAGTGAGTTATGTTCATATGGATAATAATCACTATTAAATTATCATCTCAAGTATCTGCAAGTGAATATATAACACTGATACTTAAATGTTGGAAAGTGAAGTAAAGCTGCAGAGAAGAAAAATTAAGTTGCTGATTTCACTTGATTGGGGCTAGGACTCACGTCCTAAAAACGCCTCTTACTGTGGTCCCTGACAATGCAGGAGACTCCAGAAAGTGAGGAAATACATACTGAAGTGTACTTCGCAGTTACCAATGTGCTGGCTGACGGGCATTGCCCTGCCCAGCCCTGCGGCCCTGCCCACAGTGCCAGCGGTGGCTAACCTGTGAGGGCTTTCAGATCCCGCTCATTCATCAGGGAAATTAGGTCCCCTCGAGGCTCTTCCTTCTGACTGTGCTGTACTTTTAAAAGAAATGCATCAACTCCACTTAGGAATAAATGACTTTGTAATCAGTGTTTAGTATGGCTTACCAGTGAAGGACTACTAGAACTCAGTAGATTCTATGGCATAAATATATCACTTTAAACACTCATATTATTACTCCAAATCAACAGTCACACACCAACATTGGTCCCATCACCAACATTGTTTGACAATTCCAAATTCCCACTGTACTTCAGAAGTATAAGACTGAGCATGACTGTTAAAGAAATTAAACTGTTGAAAACTTTTTTCCAACATAATTATTTTTTGAATGGAAATGAATGTTCAAATACTTAAGTAAGAGGAAAAAAGTAAAAGAAAACTAATGAAAAGGATTGGATTTTGGTTCATTGTTGATCATTAAAGGACTTACTAGCTATATGTCCATTTTAACTAAGCTACTTAGGATATTATGTTTGCTTTCATTGAAAAGCAAGTTTTAAAAGAAGTTTGTTTTTTATTTGTTTGGCGGTGGTATCTACCCAAAGCAATGTGGAATCACTTAGTTAAGGATGTTTGAAAAGTGAGTCAACTATTTATAGAAAACTTTTCAGGTTCTGTACATACTAACTAATCCGCCTGTGTCTTCTACACTTACACTAAACACATAAAATAATAAAAAGTGCATCTGTAAGATAAAAAGATGACCTTTCAAAGTAATTTCATTAAATCAAAACTTTCCTTGTATTTATTATTTTAAACTTTCTAAGTAAGATAAATGAGGTAATTTCATGCCCCTCTTTATAACAGATCTTTTTTAGAAATGAGCTTCATACCTAATTATGTTCTTTTGTATTTTTCTTGGGAACTGCACTGGTACTTTGCTTTTGTTTGTTTATTTTATGTTTGTGGCATTAACATTAGCAGTGAAAAGCCAAAACATAAAACATATGCTAGGAAAAAATACTTCAAAAATATCTTGTTATAAGTTAAGATAACTATTTGAAAGTTAGAAACTTGCAGGACTACGTATTAACTAAGTTTCATGTTGGCCCAAGTGATTTTGCTTGAACAGAATTCATGACACTCAAATTCTCTGACAATATTTGAAGAAGTAAAATTACTGTTAGTAAAAACATGTCAGGTACACAGGAAATAATTGACTGAACTTTACCTGAACATCTGGTTGCTGAGAGTATCAAATATTAAACTCAAGAATTATATTCATTGAAATGGAATTTTTAAAATTAAATGAAATTACAATTGCATGAATAATTTTGTGTGGAGTTTTTAGGGCATTTGTCTGTTTAATTATTGGCACAAACCAGTCCAAGAATACAATAAATATGACTGCAGTGCGTCCATTTCACAAGGGGTTAATATCCAGTTACCACATCCTGTACTCCAAAGCTAAGAGTTTCTTTGACAAATCTGAATTTGAATTATTTGGATCATTTTCTAATGTAACCATAAAACAGATAGCATACATGCTTCAATGTGCTCTTTTGCATTTCTACAACCTAAAGACCAGTTTGGTTTAAAAAATAAAATTTAACAGCCTTTAATTTGTCATGTGGAATCTGATTCTATGTGCTCTTTATTACACCCATATATTTATCTAAGTGAGACATAAAATGGTTGTAATAATGGAGAATTTAAAGTAGCTTTTGCACATGAGCAGTAATGCTAAATAATATGGTGACTAAAACCTGAATGTAAATTCTCAGAATTTCCTTTTCTTTTGATATGGTTAAGTAAGTATGCCTTGGTTACCTGATACAAGTGTTACATTATTTTAATTAAGCTATGATGAACTTTGATCAGCAGAATAGAAAAAATAGAGAATACAGAATCATTTGCATATAATACAAAATCTCATGTATTTAATTTTCAAATTATAGTACAGTACACATTAGATCATAGAACCTGTCAAAATAAAAACCCATGGTCCTTTTAAAAATGCTGCATAATCCTCTGATAGTTCTACATATGCTTTCAGAGATAACTTAGATATGGCATAAATCAGCGTAACTAAGTATCTGTTCCTATTGATTCTACTTCATTGATGTCTCGTAAATGGAGCCCCCTGTTCTATTTCCCTTTCCTCTTCATTTAGGCCTTCAGTTATATTTCATTTGAACTATTCTGCTAGGCACATTTCTGTCAATAACACCAGCATTTTAACATTCAAGGCTACTTTTTCATTTCTGCTGTACTTATTTGCCCATAGAACAAAGCTGGCCAAGTCACTGCACTGCTGATAGATTTCTGTTAGTCTTTTGTAATCTGTAAGATCAAATCCAAACCTTGTAACTGGACATGCAATGTTGTGAGACAGACTTCAACACTCTTGTTAGTCCCTACTCAATGTGTTCTTACATCAGAGTAAGCTGCCCCAAAATATCAATTTGTCTGTCCTGTCCTTATTCTCTGTTGCTCTCTCCTACTTACCCATTCAAATATCACCTTCTCTATTAAAGCCTTTTGGGATTTCCAAAGCAAAATTAGTGGAATCGTTGTTTATTGCCACAATGCATTGTTCACATTTTCATTTAGGAAATTAACTCTTCATGATTATATGATACACTTGTACTTTTACAACAGTCTTCTTTCCTTGGAATAAAAACAATTACATTTGTATTTGTATCTACAAAACTTAACACATTAACATATAGAAGGGAAAGTTCTCATTAAATATTTTTAAATGATTGAGCAAATGAATGAATGAATGCACCAATGAATGAAGGAATGAAGGCAGAAAATTCTGGAGAGAAATCCAACACAAAAATGTTGCAACAGCTAATCATGGAAGAATAATTCCAGGCAGTCATTCCTTAACGATGTCTTGACACCACCTCATACAGATTAGTATTCTCTTCTTGATATGAAAGATTATATAATTTCTGCAAAAATGATGAATTAATTGTAATGTATTTTTAATTTTACATAACTTCAACAAATGTGTATATTTATAAAAGTATATCTGCTATGTTAATTAGATAGCTACACTAAGTTTATACAGACTTGTATAAACTTAGTGTAGATTCTTAGATCTGGTCATTCAATTTGTCCCATCTAGCTGTGCGTTATTGTTAATATCTACTCACATATGTAAAATCGTGCCATAAAATAAAAAAAAAATATTCTCTGGAATTCATGGCTATAGAATCCTATGTAACCTGAAACTGACACTGACCTTCAAATTACTAGCCTGAATATGACTATTCAAGAAGGGCTTGTGACAATTTTAAGGAAATAAAACATGTGTGAATGTACATATCATTGAATATGTCTACAGAAATAATGTAAGGTTATTTTTATATTGCATAATTTAGTATCAGCAAATTCTATTCTGAAACATAGTAATTAGCACTGTATTAAGTTAAGTTTCAAGTCTTTTTCCAAACCAATAATAAGATTGAATTAAGTAATGACATCCTTGCAATAAGTCTTTTTCAATTGTCAAAATGTTTTGATCCTATTGTAAGAGACAGATATCAATATTTATTTTCAAAATGAAAAATTTAGCATCATTGTAACAAAAATATTTATTTTACCTTCTTCTGTGAAAGTTGTCATTTTACCTATATTTCTTTTTAATTCAGATGTTTCCTTATTGAAAATATGCATAATTAAAAGTGATATATTTTATAAGAATATGTGTTTAATGCATTAGTATATAACACAAAAACCTAGTGAAGCTTCACAAAGTTACCTTAGTCAGTTATAAATTTAATTACCTTAGTACAAAGGGCCCAGTTTATCATCATTGGTTCATGGAAGAAAAAATCATAATATTACTTAAAGTTAAATACCAAATTCTTGTAAACTATATTTTTTTTGAAATTTACATTATCTGATATTATGATTTCCTTTATCCTTTCATACTGTAACATAATTTCCTACTACTGTTAACATGAAAAAGCATAACATTTTTAAAATTAAATTTAATGATTACTCCAAAGTCATATGTTTCAGTCTTATATGCATATGCATAAGACTTTAGCATATTTTAGCTTTGTTTCATTTTCCCCAATTTTTTTTATCTTCTTATGACTACAGAGTAACTGGTTCTAAAATCAAGTTATCTAACACAGGAATCACAAGCACCAAATTCATTTTTAAAAATCTAATTAACCAATATATTTAAAAATCAAAGATATACTTGCATATGTCAAATAAATTTTGTAATCTTTTCCAGGGTTATCATACAATTTGACATCAACATTTAAGCTTTGAAAATTACATGATCATCCATTGCATTTGCATGTCACATTTCCTCAAATCTTTTCTGTTATTTAAAATGCAAGACAGACTGAGGTCATTGTAAAAAATATCCCTTCTGTCATTGATTATTGCCTAAGCTACGTCTTCCTTTCCTTTTTCAGAATGAAGAACAAATTTTGGTATTTTGAGTTTGGCACGTCTGAAACTTTCTCAGCCACCTGCAAGAAGCTACATGAATCTGTAGAAATAGAAGTAAGAAACATGAATTCACTTTTGAAAAGTTGAAAATGGCTTGTGTTTTATTATTAATATGTTTATGGTATAGACCTTGCAATGAAGTATATTTTCATCAAGTCTATCTACCATTCTAAAGTGTCTCTTTTGTCACTCATAAGGCATGTAGTCATCTCAAATGTAGTGTAAAGTTGTTTTAACACAGTACAAATATAAGAAGTGGAACATAACTTTAAGAGGCAGTAAAGAAGTCAGTGGGCATAGTGTCGAGAGAAAGATGTAAGATAAAGTAGTTGAAGAAAATGAAAAAGTCTCAAAATATATTTAAAAAAACTATTTCCAGGTCTCGATATCTTGTCACCTTTAAAACACAGTTCACTAGAGCTGTACTTACTTTCATGAATAAATGCTAAAAAATGTACTTCTCCATTCCATTCCCATTCATTAACTAGGCTTTCTCGGTTCCCAAACTTGCCATTTCCAGCTACATACATAGGAAGTGAAAATGCCAGGAAAGAGAGCAAAGATAATAAGACATACTTTGAAAAGACTTGGGGCAAATAGGTCTACCAAAAATAGACAGACGCTGTAGGAGTCAAAATTTTAGAGATGTATTATAAAAGAAAATGACATAATGAGATTTTAAAGATTAAAGAAAAAGAAAAAGTTATATGTTGACAAATGGTAAAGACAAAAACAAAGTAATAGAATTAGGAAACATGAATACCTAATGATCCATTTATATGACTTGAGAAATGCTGGTGTGACACTGTTCACTTTTTAAAAATAAGTATATAAGTGCCTCCCTGGAACCCATGTGATTAGTGGCCCATATTCAAGTGATAATCTGGTAAACAGAAGTAGTTATGAGCTACAAAAGTATATAATGGCCTCCGTTATACTAACTTTCTGTTTGATAATGCAATACTCAAAATGGTCCTAATCGTGATGTGATGTTGTGATACTTCTTTTCTTGTCATGATTAGAAAAATAAATTATTAGAAGTGGGCCTGATGGTTATGGCATGGAAAAAGGTCTTGTTGATTGGATTAGACGATGTTATTGGTAAGGAATACGATCACAGAAGGTGAAAGATTCGGACTTAGAATGGATTTATTGAGATTACTATTCGTGACCATCTATCTGTGAATGTGCATTACATACACATAAATTATGAATAATAATAATACATGTCATTAGTAGTCCATACATATTTAATAATATACAATATAGCAATATGTGTCACTTATATTTAAAAAGGCAGTTATATACATGCTCTGTGCATTGTTATATGTAGCAATATATGTAAAAAAGTATTTATTCTGACCCTACAAATTCCCTTTGCATTCAAAATCATTACTTTTATAAAACTGCCTTATACGGTGGATTTTTGCCCATCATTTATTCTCAGAAACATATATCAAAAAATATGTACTAAAAACTAAAAAAAAAAAAAAAAATTAAAAAACAAGAGCATAGCGTTGATTGAATGCAGACCCAAATTCCTGTTCCTGGGCTTCCCTCAGCCGGTCCCTCCCTGCAGACGGAAGAGATGTTGACCTATAAGGAAATAGTATGTGTGCCCCAAGTTAAAAAGAAAAAGGGCAAGAATAAAGTACATTATGTAGCAAAAGATTTTTGAATGAAAAGAAATGTGGAGAACATTGATTTTTTGCAATTTTTATTTTTACTAGCACCTTACATGTTTGCAGTAATACTGATTTCACACATCATAGAGATCTGCTCTATGTACAGGACACGTCTGTATTCTTTTATCCCACTTTTCCTGCCTCACTCCATTTTAAAGTTCTAAATATGCGAAAACCGACTTGCTTTGTTTATAGATCTTTATAGTGTATAGAAAAACTCTTCAGGACACTCACCAAGAAGCTGGACAGCTAGAAGGAAGTTTTATTCCTTAGATTCATGTTTCTACATGTTTTCCAAGTCTGACATTCTGGTTCTGCAACAGACTAGCTTGTTTTAGTAAGCATTACAAACTGTGAGGACTCTCTGTGGTATTACCCTCTCTCTTGAGGTGTGTGTGTGTATGTGTGTGTGTGTGTGTGTGTGTGTGTGTGTCTGTGATGGCAATGCCAAATCTGCCTCTCTGCTCACATTTTAATGAATCCAGTCTATCATATTAGCAGAATATGCCTTTCTACCCTCAAGGTTGATTCATAATTAAATATAACAAAAACAGCAATTCGGAAATTTGATTCTGCTTGCTATTGCTTCCTATGTGGCCTAAAATTATACCAACTATGGTTTGAAAAATATATAATAGGGAACAAACCACATAAGAAACAACAGAACCTCAAGCAATGGATATATGTTTCATTGGCAGCTTCTTCAAACACAAGCCATTTTCTGTGTATGTTTTTTATTTCAGTCTCCTCTGTCATATGGAAACCTCCTTCCAAAGAGTATAAATGCTTAGAATGATATAACTATCATGGGATAGTAGTTGATAATAACACTAATAGCTGAGATTTATTTGTCTTAGCCAGGCCCACACTTGGTGCTGAGCATTGCACAAGCATTATCCGCATTAGTCTTCTTCAAAACATTATGAAGTCAAGAGGTACTGTCATGTGTCCAGGGCTGAGCCTGCCATATTCTTTAAGCATTTAGAGAAATAAAAATTATGTTAGTGCAACATGTTAAAATCTAAGGAAAGAAATATATTGGGAAAAATTAAAATATAGATAGATTCCTGAATCCCTGTTTCAAAGTAAGTAAGAGAATAACAAAACCTGTTCTCCGGTATTTCGGTCTTTTGGTTGTGGTAAGTCTGGAAGTAGGTTGTATTGGCCAGCTCTTATTGACTGCATAAAATACCTGACATTCAAAATTTAAGGGAAAAGATCTATTTGGTTCTAGGTTGCACAGATTTCAGCCCATTGTTTCTAGCCCCAAAGCAAACATATCAGAGCACAAAGACCTAGTGGAGAAAAATTGCTGAGCTCATGGTATCCAGGAATCAGAGAGACAGAAAAGAGCCAGAGATAGGAAAGACCAGATACTGTCCTTGAGCTCATGCATGCCCTCATGATCTACACACATTCTGCCAGAAACATGCTTAAAAATCTCCTAGATGGCTCTCTAACCAATCAACTTGAAAAGTCAGTATTAACTATCCCAGAAGGTAGATTTTAAAGCTAAGAATTTCTATCCCAAAATATCGAGAATGATCTACATGATTATGTACTTTTCTAGTATCTCAAGAATTAACAAATAAATTCATAATAGCCAAATCTAGGAAAGAGCCTACATGCTCATCAACAACAAAAACATGTATTTATGTATAATGGAGTACTACTCTGCCATAAAGCATAAAGTTGAGTTATATGTAGGAAAATGGATGCACTTTGAGACTGTAATATTCGGCAAAGTACCTGAAACACACAAGCTTAAATATTACGTGGTTTCTTTTATATGAAAACCAGTATATAGCACAACACGAGTTATTGGGATTTGAAAGACGGGAATCTTAGTGTCTAGTAAGCAGGCAAATAGAATTTTTAACTACGCTAAAGTGGTTTCCCAGCACAATCTTTGTTCTCTCTCTCTCTCTCTCTCTCTCTCTCTCTCTCTCTCTCTCTCCCCTCATAGTATCTCTAAAGTTCTATTTACATTTCACTAGGTAGATAGTCATGGCCTCAGAGGATCACACTCTATAAATAGTTCCTCTAGTACTATGTGTTAATAACCTTTTCCTACATAATAAAAATATCCAGGATTTATTGATGAACTGAGGCTGTTAGCTCTTAAACTTTTATATGCTTTTTTGCTCTGGTAACTTTTTTAAAGTCATAAATCTTCAAAGACGATGAAGATATTATCTGACACCGTATTATAACATGTTTATATTTCACAGCCTTCACCTTAGCCTTTATTTTCATATACTAGCTGGTGCGCTCCAACTCCTGTTCTCCATCAGCACTAGCTCTGAAATTTTCCAGACTAATGAGCATAATGTTAAAGCAAACAGAGGAAGGTTGCCTGAGGTCAAGAACTAGTGGAAACAAATCATTAATAAATAGCAATGTATTTAAGTACGTTGTCCTGCTCTCAAAGGAGCATCAATGTGCTTCATCAGTCCTTGTTCTTGGCAACTTCTTGAGAATTTTTTTTCCCTTCTTCAAGAATGGCTTGCTCTGTTTCCTCAAAATGACACATGACATGGCTCTGAACGGCACAAACATGAAAAACAGCCTACCCTGGTGTTTTTCCGTTGTTGAGTGTAACTCTACCAGTTCAATTAAAAAGAAAAAAAATCTATTTACAACATGTGCTCTCTTTCTGCAGATGAACAAAGGAATTCTCCTTCACTAATTCTGAAAGTAACTTGTCACAGTGGGGTTCTGAGGCCTAGTCAAATAATTGTCTTAGTGCACTACCTGCTGTGTTCAATATTGAGTGAAAATGGAAGCCAGGCCCTGACTCCAGCTTATTTCGCAATTCTTCTGTTATTTAAATGATTTTAGTCAGTTTGGGGGAAGCCAGACCTTTATAAATTAACAGCAGGGAAATACCAAAGGTGTCAGATTGCATATTTATCATCTTTTTCGTGTAATACTTAAATATGTATTAAGAAGTGACTGACATAAATTAGGCAGATTTCAGAAGCCACGGGCCGTGGCTTGTAGAGGACCCCCTTCTGCTTGACATTTCATCCTTGTCAAAGATCAAATTATTTTAATTTAGGCTGCAAATTATAAGGAATGAAGACTTCTTTGTGGGAATTCCCTGTGGTAATCTGACTTTTGTTGTTACTGCTGCTTGTCAGTGTGCAAAAGATATAATATGCATGCAAATAAGGTTAAAAAATATGTACTATCTAATTATCTAGCCAGTACTTTCCACTTGAAGACGGTAGGAGGCCTGACACACAGTATGTGTTTGATTCATTGAGGCCTGCAGGGTATTTACACAAGATTACTTTTAATTATGAAATTAATATCTGTTTATCTAGAATATATAGCAGTAAGTGAGTATACACATGAGCAGAATTCTTTAGTAAAAAGAAATCATTTTAATTTAATACATGAGAAGGAAAGGCCAAAAAAAGTCACTTGTTTTTGGGGAAAAAAAAATAGAAAGAATCATCCAGACCCTGCATTCACTCTCTGTTGGGACAAAGCGAATGAAAACTTGGCCGCTTCCTCTAGAATTTGTTTCTGCCCCTGCCAAGTAGGCTCAAGATGTCTTGCTTTATTTCACAGTTTTTATTTTTTGGTGAGGAAATGTAATCCTCGATTCAGTCTGATGAAGTGAATGTGGAGAAAGAGGGAATTTTGTTTTGTTCTCATTTTGATAGCCAGTTACCTCCCGTGGTCTAAAAGCATCCTCACTTCCAAAAGAAACGAGGTTATCAATGACTTATTTTGTAAAAACAAATGAACAATAAAACAACCTCACCGCAGATATACTTCAGTTTAGGAGCTGTTGACCACTAACAAAATCCTCTTAAAAATAAAAATTATGTCTTGTTAATTATCTTATAATCTCCAATACTGGAACAATTTAAAATTGAATGATTTCTGGAATATATGAATTTTAACTCCTATTTGAGAAAACCTGAAACATAGAATCATCCACAGCATACAGTGTAGCTTTATTACTCTTCACACAAACCTATCAGCAACAATGATTAGAATATTTTTAAAAATTAAAATGTGACTCAGTCATTGCAACAAAGCAGTCTGTTAATGATGTCCATATTTTTCATTTTCAACAGAATGTTCCATCTCCAAGTAAACCAAAAGGTCTGAATGATGAGTCTTTTGGCTTGTTTTTTCAAACCATTGTCATTGCTCTCCCTCCGCATGGTCTTCCATGTCCATTTGAACAACTGTGCCTCCCACTGCCTTGGGTGTATCGCGTGGTCTCTCAAAAGTCTGAGATCATCTGAAGTTCTGCATCATACTTTTCTTCTCCAAAGTCTTTCAAGCCACTTCATTTTGTGCCCCTACCCCCAAAATACAGAAGTCATGAATCACAGAGACTAGCTCACTTTCCCTCATAATGCTTTGTAATGTGCAGTGCTTTGCATTAAATGATAACCATTAAAATCACTGCCTGAAATTTAACCACGCTGGCGAGAATTAACCATCATGTAGCAGGCTGTGAATTTGCAGCTGGCTGTGTGTACAGATAATAGTGTGTCTCTCTTAAAAGGTTTTCTATAAACAAAGACACACTGGTGATCTAATTTCAACATTTTTAAGGATTATAAGTGATAACTGGCTAATGTTAGTTGGCTGCGTTATATTTTATACTGACATTGAGGATAAGCATTTAAGTGTTTTTGAAACGTTTATCTAGAAATGGTAGGATTATAAATGTAAAAGCCCTTATTAGAGAATAAGTGAAAAAAACTAGAAACCAAAGAGGGAAGGAAAAACAGCTGACAAGTTCTGTTCTTTTCCTTTTGCTGATTAGTGTGATGGAGTACAGATAGATTTAATGAACATCTCCTTGGAAGGAATTGCAATCTTGAATATACCAAGCATGCATGGGGGATCCAATCTTTGGGGAGAGTCTAAGAAAAGAAGAAGCCATCGACGGATAGAGAAAAAGGGCTCTGAAAAAAGGACTACACTCACGGATGCCAAAGAGTTGAAGTTTGCAAGTCAAGGTAGGGTTTCCAGCAATGAAGTGTTCAACTGCTTGGTCCACAGATTTTTAAAGGCTACCTTAAGAAGAGTTTTCCATTTCACTATGTTATGGTTTGTGTCCAGATGTCCCCCCAAAACCTTATGCAGTCATGAGGCTTTTTTGGAGGTGGCTGAATCTAGAGTGTGTGATTGATTTGTAATGCAATGCGAGGATTTAAAATACTGGGATTAAGGACATGATTTGTAACTCACTGCACTGATTGGTTTGGCATAGTTCTGGCTGGCATAAGGGTGTGAATCATACACCTGCCCTAGGGTGGGTAGCCAGCATGTGATAAAAGGGCAGAGTCATGTTTCCTTTTCCTTGTTGCTTTTGATGTCTTGTTTGTTTATTTACTTGTTTGTTTTTGTACTGGGAAGCAAATTCAGGGTCTTGCAGTTGCCAGGCTGGCACTTTTGCTGCTGAGCTACATCCTCAGCCTTTTTGATGTCTTGTGGGCTCCATGAACTGTTCTCTCCCAAGCCACCTTGCCTTGGAGCCAGGCAATTATGAACTGAAACCTCTAAGCCAAATAAGCCTTTCTCCTTTAATTTTGGGTGCTGGGTATTGTGCCCCAACAACAATAACAGAAACAAAAAAATTAACTAAAACATGCTATAATAAGGGGTCTGTTTATACAGTTGTAGTTTTCATATTATTTGATACCAATGCATGCTTAAATTATGTCATAAAAGACTTAAAAATTATATATGGCTTTCCTGAATTTCCCTCTCCTTTATTATCTTTCTCTAACAAGAGTTTTTTCCACACAAAATAAAATAATACTAAGGCTATAGTATATATTAAGCTATTGTTCTAAGTATGACCTATAAGGTAATTTTTAAATATTGCATGATAAATTTTTATTATCTGCTTTCATTTTTCTCAAAAGTTAGTAACAACTACTAGGAAATGTGGAAAATAGAGCATAGGAAAACAAAAAAAGATACAAAACCTATGGAACAGAATTTTTAAATGTGTTTTAATATAATTCACAATGTTACATGACACATAATTCTTCCTGATAGATTTTATAAGCAAAGATATTGAAGTGGTGATTTTGCCCATAATTTTATATATGTGTGTGTGTGTATATATATATATATATATATATATATATATATATATATATAATTATAGATATCTTTCATTCTAAAATATATCTAATACTATTGATGGTACTGGGAAATATGAAAAGATATGGTCTCAGTGTAGTAAGGACAAAATATAAGGTCACAGCCTTAAATCCTCAATACAAATAAATAAATAAGAAGGTATTTGAACTTCCTGGTAGTGGACAATATTTCTATGGCTTAGTACCTCTGTTATGTAGACCTTGATACTGTGAGTGTGACACAGCTCGATTGCTACAGTGCTAGATTGTTGGACAGTGGTAGCTTCTTGAAAACAATGATCACTACAACTTACTAATGACAGGAGGCCTGGATGTTCTTGAAATGTACTAATAAACCTGAATAATTCTGCAGTATAGTACAACCAATATTACAACAAATCAATTAAAATATTTTATATTCAGAAGGCAACATGATTATGAAAATATGAAGAAAAGTAACTTTTTGAAGAAGAAATATAAAAATTAAGAGTAACCCTATATGAATGAATGAGTGGGAAAATAAATATGATTATTATTTTTAGAAGCCATTGACATTAATATTGTCATTTTTAAATAACAATATAAGTGTACAAGTAAATTCCTAAGTGTAATAAAAGTTATTTAAGAGTTAGAATTAAAGACCATACTAGATCAAATGAAAAACTTTCAGTTATACAGATTATATTATTATGCACTATATAATTACTTGTTGGTTCTCTCATTACAAAAGTCTTATACTATGCATGTATAAAACAACAAATAAAAACTATTCCAAGTTTATCAGTCTATCACTATATTCTAATAAGGGGCATGGCCTTTGCAAGTTCAGGTTGCCGATATTAACCAGTGATTCTCAGAGACTCAGTGGTCAGTGGTATTCACTCACTGAGCTGTTGAAAGCATCAGAGACACAGGGCTGTGCTCCCTGCAGGTGAATTTGCCTGCCCTCGCTCACCTCGCTTGGTGCACTCTTCTCCTGAATGCAAATTTGAAGTAAATCACAAACTATCTACAACTATTATAGTAAACTCTTTGTATTCATGCATATAAGAAATGCTTTCGTTTACCCTACTATCTTCTTGTTCCTACTGTGGAGCTCTTAGAATCAAGTCTCCATACCACTGAGAAAGAAGAAAGTGGGCTTGTGACACAAGAAGACATTTTGTCACATTATCCCTCTGTAAAATGTTTTTGATATATTTTGGAATGGATGTATGTTTTTCTAAAGTTTGAAAAGTTTTTTTTTCTGTTGGGGTAGTGCAGAGAAAGTATAAATTCATATAAGAGAGATAAATCATTTTATCCACTAGAAGGATTTGAAAAAAATCAAGACTCTTGATTCATTTAAAGAAATAACATGGAATAAATTAGGTTTGTAGCATCAAAATCTCAAAATATTAAACTGGGTATGATTAGAAACTCCAAAACCAGTCCCTTTTTGGGAAACTTGCATAAGAGCAGACTATTCAATAAATATATAGATTGGAACTTTTACCACAGGTTCAATTCAGAGTGAACAAAATGATAAGTAATTCATTTCATTATATTATTCCTTATTGAGATACATGGAACTGTTTGCACGCAACTCTGAAACATATTCATACTCATACACTTCTAATTCCCTAGCCATTTTCTTTGTGTGTGTGTTTGTAAATATAAATGAGTGTGTTATATATAGATGGCATGGTCTTCAAGCAAAACTGTAAAGTAGTCCAAGTTTATCTTCAATGCTCCTTGCTTTAATATTTAATCTTTCCCATGTCTTTCAATTTGAGTTCATCTTTACCTCCTCCTCATCTAAATTAACCTCAGAGAGATGTCTAATAAATTCATTCACATTAATGTATAAATGACTGATTGCAGATGAAGGTAGCAGATTTGCATTTTAAAAGATATAAAGGCCTTCAGCTAAAACATTATTTTTCATACAGTGCTTCATTGAATTATAACTGTAATTCTTCAACAGTTCTGTAAAAATTTGATTCAAATTCATTGCTTTATTTTTGGAGCAATAAAATGGTCTAAAGAAGTTCAAAAATGTATCCTATAAAGAGTTTATCATATTAAGAATTCTCAGATCATTAATTTGTGTTTTCAGATAAAAACAACTTTCTGCGGTCTTCCTTTTCCTTCTTGATTTCTTTATATTTATTTGGAGAGAGAGAGAAAGAGAGAGAAAGAGAGAGAGAGAGAGAGAGAGAGAGAGAGAGAGAGACATCCACAAATACACACCCATATAAATGTGGCATTGATCAGAAAGTCTACAGTCTTGCTTTGGTATTTAAAAGAACACGCCTTTTCATATTTAATAGGAAAACTTTACAAATAGATATGTTATCATCGTATCATACGTGAATATCATCCAATTAAATGCCAGAAATTTCAGATAACTTTGTGAGGCAGAAGAAAGAAACAACATGTTACAGTTGGTTGAAGGGAAAACCTGATGGCAAAACCAGTGTTTTAAAAGCAAATTTAGATTATGTTAAGGAGCATTTTTTGTTCACAAAGAAATCACGGTTGCTAGCTAGATTCAACAAATAATAGTCTCATAGCTATGGATATAGATTAGATATAGATAGATCTATACATCAAGCTTTTGGCACAGACTGGATTGAAATATGCTCTCAACTGCAAGTAAGGAGGTAGATATAAAACTGAAAATTTTTGATCCATATGCAGAGTCAAATAAATCTGGTAATTTAAACTTTGACTCAGTGAAGCAGACAGCAAGTGCATTATATCATAAATTACTAGTGATGAAGTTGCAAAACTGTATTCAAATTGGCACCTTTGAAAAGTATGTTTTATTCAATATGTGAGACTGTGTCAAGAGGAGTGAGCCATTATTGTTCTGATTTAGCTTTGAAGAAGCCAATCCCGGATCCCACACTCCAGGAATGGAATCAGAAGAGTTCACAATGACTAAGTGCGATATAAAAAGTTCCTATCACTGAACTATATATCTATGTGTATCGGGATAGTCCCAATATCACATAATCGAAATGACACATGGAAATCACAAAAATAGGATGACTACGCCACAGGAGCTGTCATCAAAATATCCCACTATTCTTGTAGTTTGACTCTACTGAAAAGTTTAACCCCCTGAACTTTAAAATACATTCATACAAATTAGACTCTGGTCCTGTATTTTATCACTGCCTTTTAAAATACTGCCTCAGTTGCAAAGAGAAAAGTTGTTGACAGCTTTAAAAAGTTTGAGAAACACTGAGCAAAAGTAATTACATTCAAACCATAGTTTCAAGCATTTGCCAGAAGCTAGGGGAGGTGCTGCCAGGAGCAGCTGGACTTCCTGCTTGAAACCTCATTAAGTAGGTGACTGTCAGCCCTGGGTATGGGTACAGCTAGCCAGGTACTTGTCACAGGAAAGTTTATTTTAAAACTAATTAACATATTATGTCATCCAGGAAATTTTCAATGATTTCATTCACATTCACCAACACTAATTCCTCTATTGGATCAGAATTGCACAGAGCTCAGCACGCACTGACTGTTAAAAATGAGATGGCTGAGCGGGTACACTGATGAATATGTCAAAGCTTAGCGCACACACAAACACACATGCACACAGTGATTGAAGTGCAGAGTAAATGCTTAAATTTTTTAACAAGCCATTACAGTAAAATACACATGGTAGTTCATCCCCTTCCAAATATTTTCCCTCGCCTTTAACACACTTATCTCTTCATCCTTGCCACTTTCTGGAGCAGCTCTGGAAATCCTCTCATGAGTCTCTTTATAAGGGGTGATGATAAACAGAGGGGACACTGTTGCCAAGTGACATCCCATAGAAGACAGGCTTGTGAGAACAGGACGGCTTGTCCTCATCTACCAGACTCACC